CTTCCCCCGCGTGGTTAGAAGCCCGCTGCTCTCCGGGGCCCGGCTCGGGCATCCCTGAGGCGACGTCGGGCTGGCGCTGCCCGGGCTCCCGCCTTCCCCCTCCTCCCCGCGGGCCTTGGCGCTCTCTGCCCGAGCGAGGCCTCCCCGCACAAGGCAAGGCGGGGGGAGGGGGGTACCCGGGCCCGGCCCCGCCGTGCCTGCCGGCTGCCCCTCCGGCGAGCCCACCTCCCCCGGGTCCCGGCCGCTCTCGCGTTAGGAAAAGCTGCTGGAAGCAAAAAGCGATTTGTTGCCGCCAGCCCCTCCTTCCAGCCCTCGAAATGACTGGCAACTCCCGGCTCCCGTTGGGAAGCGAGGATGGAGCTGCCGCCTCCCCGGCGAGGGGTTTTCCTGGCGTCCCCGTTAGCGCCGTGAGGTTTTGTCCCCGAGCTCGGGAACTCTTTCTTTGGAACTTTTCCCCACAGTTGACAATCAACCTAATGCCTACTTCATTGCTACTTTTCCCTGTAGAAGAATTTCCGCAGTATAATCTACTTTCTATATTTATTTATTTTTTTTCTCCCTTTAAAAGTAGCGATTTGAGACTTTTTAAAATCTTTTTTTAATCTTAAGAGTAGAAAACAGGTGAGGACAAGGAGGAGTGGATGTACACATGAACCATGTAAAATACATAAGCACGTGAAGAAGAGTATTTAGTTTTGTGTAGAGAAACATAATTAAGGACAGTTAGTTTAAAACTGATGTTGGGAAGCCTGAGTTCAGGAAAAAAAGTGAAAGGCAAAGTATCTTTGCAAATCTTCATGAACTTCCTGTTGTTCTTCTTTAATTCAGAAGTAAGAAAAAGTGGGGCTAGGACAAGATCTGGTCACAATTCTTCTGTAGTTAAAACCCTTAGCACCTAAATATGCAGCTACCCATCTGCATCATCACCTTCTGAAATCTTAAAAGGTTTCTCATCCCTGTCGTTACACCTCAGAAGCATTTAAAATAAATTTAAATACATGTTTTTATCCATGTTTTGATTGAGTTACTTGAAATTAAGATTCCTGTACATTAATAAACTTTGAGATACTTAAATGTATATACTGTATCTCATCTGGCACCTCTTCTACCAGCTTGATTTTATGGAAGGTAAGGTGAGGTTATTACTGAACTTTAAAATACGCACAATGAAGAAATAACTGCCTTATAGATTTCAGTTTCACTTTCTATTAGAGGAGGAAGACTTAAATCTGGAGGAGCTTGAATTGATGTGATTTCTGGTTTTCTGCAGTATTTTTATAGTGTATTGAAGTACCATTCATGTGTTATCAAGGACTTATGCAGCGTCCTGTATCCAACTAAAATAAATATTGGAAGTTGCATAATTCCCTTAAAATTCTCCTTTTGATATTTCTCTGCCCTTTAGCCGATTTACATCACTTGACATACTTGCTATGGATTGCAAATCCAAGTTGAAAAAGTATACATGTAATACTACTTCTTTTTTGTGTCTGTTGTGCCAAATGCAAGATAAAGCAAATTAATTTTAAGGCAGCCTGTCATCTATCTTTCTGGTACTCTGTTCTTATAATGGTGTGGGGCATTCGGAGGAAGCAATGAAGCAATTCTTTTTATGTGTTTTGAGGAAACAGAGGTAGTGGGAAAGAGAAGAAAAAAACATAAAGCATTCTGACTTAAATCTCGGGATATTACATATTTTTAACAATCTCTTCCCTCAGGAATCTTCCCATTTCAGAGTACCAAAATGTTAATGGTTTTAGCAAACAATTTTAGTGTATATTGCAGAAAAGTCTGGATTGCTTACTAGTACAAGAATTTGCATTAACTCAAGCAGGGGAGAATCAGTAACTGCACTGTTTGAAGACTGTGTCTTTTATGAGGAAGACACGAATATAATTTATAGTGAAATGCCATCCTCTAGGCTTGGCTTAGAATACCTCTGATATATTTATTCTACTGGATCATTGATCATATTCTTCAGAAACATCTGTTGTATGAAACTATTATAATTTGTAATATATCTCTCTACTTCTGCTAACGTCCCCCTCGCCCTCCTGAGCATCACGTTTAGGGTATTTCCTTTCAATGAATGAGACTTGAGATACAGAGAGAACTATACTTAGGTTATTAAAGTGTTACCTAGTAAATTCTGAAAGTGTAGCTTAGATGGGGTGAGTTTGTAGAAGGGTGACCTCTAGTATCTATAATACTTGGCAACAGTTTTCAGAAGGTAAATATCCATCTTGCCACAGACAGTAACTTAATTGATACTCTGTAAGAGATCATGAGGTATTTGCTAAACACTGTAAAAAATGTATTTGTAAGCTAGTTTTGGAAAGAAAGATATTAGAAGTGAATTAATAATGTCAATAATTCATTTTTTATTTTTTGAAGTTATGAAGTACACTAATTGCTTGTTGCTGTGATTAGCTAGTTGAAATTATTTTTTTAAAAAACAACAAAACAAGCAAACAAAAAACCCAAACCCAACACTGTACATAATTTTAATAACCTGCTGTAGACTTACTTTCTGCTTTTTTTGGCCAATGTCATTTTACAGGTCTAAAGTTTTTATCTTTCTTAGGAGGCTGATAGTCTGCTGTATACTAAGCTTTTCTGAAATTAGACTTCCTTAATTCATCCTGTTCCTCAGTAGTGTTCTCTGTATTCCATAAATAATTAAATGCATGAGAAGAACAGTTCTTGATTTTCTAACAGGTGTACACTGAAAGAAAGAAATAGTAGTTAAGAGAATCAGTTGACTCTGTGTGAGATTTTGCAAGCTGGTTTCATTAGGTGGTCAGTGTCATCCCTTGAAATAAGTTCTGATCTTTAGAGCATAACTGTTCTGTCACTTGAAAAGACTTTTAAAAGACAAATCTCTGGTTAGGCATCAGAGTGGAACAGCAGATAAGATAGATGGTGGACTGTCAGGATGTATAAATGTGCGGCACTGTTGTGTACTGTTAGCAGGTATCGTGAGTATGGAACCTAAAAGCGTAAGCATTGATTTATCCATGATTTGTTTTGTTACTGCATTTGGTGTCTTCTTTCTGTAGTATTTCTTTTTCACGTCATAGCTGTCTGATTGTGAGGAAGTGTATCTGCTGCTATAACTTAGTTACACTAGTCATACATTTTTAATCCTTCAAAGGTAATTAAATGCCAGTTTCTTCCAATCATGAAAATGACTGTCAACAGAAGGTGAAGGACTACAGTGAGTTGATAGTACTGATCTGTATTTTTTGTTTTTTGCAGGGTTGAGGATGCTGATGCATCCGAGAAAAGTGTAAATGAAGAAAATGGGGTAGTATCAGAGGCAGACCAACCTCAGAACAAGCACAGCCGGCACAAAAAAAAGAAACACAAACACCGAAGTAAACACAAGAAACATAAACATTCTTCAGAAGAAGATAAGGACAAAAAACATAAACACAGACACAAACATAAGAAACATAAACGGAAAGAGGTAGCTGATGCCTCTGACAAGGAAGATGGACCAGCTAAAAGAACTAAAATTGATTTTTTAGCTCCTCTGGAAGACTTAGAGAAACAAAGAGCATTACTGAAAGCTGAACTTGAAAATGAATTAATGGAAGGAAAAGTCCAGTCTGGGATGGGATTAATATTACAAGGTTATGAGTCAGGATCTGAAGAAGAGGGGGAGATTAATGAAAAAGTACGAAATGGAACAAAAGCTACAGCTAAGTCAAACACTAAGGGGAAACTAGAACCTGTGGACAATAAAACTAGTTCCAAGAAAGGAAGTAAGAGTGAATCAAAAGAAAGGACTAGGCACAGATCTGACAAAAAGAAAGGCAAGGTAGGAGTTGATGGAATCAAGGAGAAGACAACTAGAAGCAAGTCGAAAGAGAGGAGGAAATCCAAAAGCCCTTACAAGAGAAGTAAATCTCAAGATCAGACAAGAAAATCCAGGTCTCCAATGCTCAGAAGGCGATCTCAGGAGAAAAACAGAAAATCTAAATCTCCCCCAGAGGACAGAAATAAGGCTGATGATAAAAGTAAGTCAAGAGACCGCAGAAAGTCTCCAGTTGTAAATGAAAACAAAAGCAGAGATCGTGGCAGAAAATCTAAATCTCCAGCAGAACTAAGAAGCAAATCCAAAGATAGAAGATCACGGTCCAAAGATAGAAAACCTAGGAGATCAGAGACTGACAAAGAAAAAAAGCCAATTAAATCTCCTTCTAAAGATGCTTCTTCAGGGAACGAGAACAGGTCCCCTAGACGACCTGGACGTAGCCCAAAAGGAAGAAGCTTATCTCCCAAACAACGTGAGAAGTCAAGAAGAAGCAGATCCCCTCTCTTTAATGATCGTAGATCTAAACAGAGTAAATCACCCTCTCGAACCCGGTCTCCAGTTAGAAGAGTGAGGAGTAGGTCTGCAGAAAGGAAAAGAAGAGAATCAGAAAGGCGGCGTCTTTCTTCTCCCAGGTAACTTAAAAGATGTAATGAACCATCACAAAAGTGCATTACAGGATTAACTATCTTCTAGTTTGGTGTTTATCACTTTGCTTTATTCTGAAAATAGCTATTTTAAAAGTTAATCGTATTGTGCATTTTGAATTTACTTTGTAAGTATTCAGGTTTTTAAAAATCTTGCCACCCCACCCCAGCTGTCAGATATACAAACTCAGCTTTCGTTGTTGAAGTGCTGAGTTGTTTGCAGCTCACACCATCACTTGGGAACAAGTTCTGTAGATCAGGATCTCCTTTTTCATCATTCAATTAGATTCAGAATTTGGCTTCTCTTTTGTTTCTTAGTTCTGTTGCTTAAAGGAATTTTGGTGATGTGATAGTCTCCTCCACCCATATATGAGTGTTGGCTAAAAATGAGAAATTAACCTGCCTCTCCCCCTCAAAAAAAACCCCTAATGATTATAGTCAGCATGTGTAAATGTAACCAAATCTTTTATACCAGTATGTCCTTCTCAGAGTAATTTTTTTCCTAATTTTTTTTTTTTTTTCATTTGCTAGGGATATGGTGGTGTTGCTTCATTATTGGTTTGTTGTATATCATTACCATACTTTACATACACTTAAAGAAGAAAGTCCGGAATCTTTAAAATTAATTTTTAGTCTTGACATTTTTTTAAAAGATGATTTAGCTTATGAAAGCAGTTGCCTTGAGATTTATTATAAATTATGAGATGATAATTACTAGCATTGCTTTCTCTGAAGCTGATCAGGCCTGAATTATAAGTTCCCAAGCATAGGTGTATACATTTTTGGAAGTTAATTCATTAAGTGTAAGAACTTCAACAGACAGAAGAGTTGAGCATTACTTTCGGGTAATGAATAATTTCAAACATGTTATCTTAGACTTTTGTTTAACCCACTCCAAGATTTAAGAACATAGAAGTATGAATTTCAAACCATGTATTTGAGCCACAAAGCTCAAATACAATCACCTAATAAACATGAAAGTTTTTCTGCTTGCATCACTGAAGGTTACTCTGGTTTTAAGTATGGGGTATCTTCTACAGTCACATTAGTTTATTTATCTGTACTACTGAGGCTGCCAGAGAGTTCCAGGAGCTTTAATGAGCAGTTTTAACCAACAAATAATTCCTGTTCATGTTTGTTTCTAGTGTTTGTATTGTGTAAAATACTTCTCAGGTCTTTGACTGAAGTTACTCCTTACATTATTTTACTGTGAACTCTAGCAGCTTCTACTTTTTATACCTGTGACCCCTGAACTGATTTAAAATTTTAATTGCCTGTATTGGGTTTTGGCAGTACAATCACTTGGTTAGCCAGGAAATCTGGAACTGTCTGTCCATTCTGTGGGGTTTTTTTTTGTTAATATTGTTCACAAGAACATAACATAAATTAAATGAGTTAAAAGGACTGGACTGCTCCAGCATTTGAGTCCACAGTAATTTCTTGTAGAAACTGTCAGTACCTCTGCATGTGCATAAATGTTTTTTTCTGTCCCACTGTCCACTGTTTTGTATCAGTTCTGTATGCCTGGTCATTATACCTAGCTAAGGTAACAGAAGCTGATGTAACAGTCTCTAAACAAACAAAAAACTGTTGCACAATATAACTATTCTTTCAGATCAAAGAAATTTTGTTTGCTGATGAGAGATAACACCTGAAATAATTTGTCCTCATTTGATTTTTAAAGAAAAAAGTAAGTGTGAGGGAAGAAATAGAGTAGCAATGCTTTCTTTGGACAGTGGTGTGGAAATACTTTGCAAGAATTTCTCTTGCCAAATAGTTGTCAAGTATTTTTAGCTTCTGTCCTTTCCATTTTTTGATTGAGGTCTTGCTGTTGTGGAGTACAATTAAGCGTCTTAATCGTAGTTGTCCCATCAAGGATTATTTTTTTCTCAAATAATTGTGAATCTGTATAGACAAGAAGGAACAAATTTTGAATAGTATATGATGCCAAACTTAAATTATTTTTTTAATTAGAGGAGGGTTAGTTTGCATCTTGATTAATAATTTTAGGTTTCAGCTGCTATGTTAAGAGTTTGTGAAGTACTGAAGCCATCAAATTCTTGTGCCCTAATTGAAATAGACATTAAAGTAATTGCTGTGGAGTAGCATGGCCCTAAATTTTGGTACTGTGTTGTAAAGCTGCTGAGAAAATTCTCAGGAATCAGTTTTGAGGTTTTATTTATTGCTGATAAACATGAGAACAGGCCCCTGTTTATGTAAGACTGTAACAGAAGCTTTGTTTTAAAGCCTCTCTTTGCTTTGTGATAGTGGTTAATAAGCTCCATTTCCAGAGTTTTCCTGAACTAGGCCTATGTATGGGCATCTGTTTCTCAGTGTGGGCAAGCAGGGCAGCAAGCTCTGAAGCAGTTATCCATCCTGTCCTCAGAAAGCCCATCTGCTGGTCCTTCACCTGCAGTAAGATTTTAAAGTGAGCTCTTAAAATTAATGGGTATTTGTTTTCAGCTTGCTCCTGATTTACTACCATTCTCTTCCTCTATTTTAAGAACACGGACCAGAGATGATATTTTGTCTAGACGTGAGAGATCAAAAGATGTTAGCCCACCCAGTAGATGGTCTCCATCCAGAAGAAGGTCCCGAACCCCCATTAGAAGGAGGTCTCGTTCACCACTTCGGCGTAGCCGATCTCCAAGAAGGCGGAGCAGGTCTCCTCGGAGGAGGTAAGGGCATGCTGCATTTTAAAACATATTTTGTAAAATATTACTAAGAGAATAAATATTACTATCTTATGTGTAAAAGGATGATGCATTTTTTGGTCCACATTTATTTATGCTAGCATAGTTGAATTCATTTTGTCCTCCATAAATACAATTGTTCTAAGTTTGGAGTCATTATGTACCTTTATGTTTTGTGAATAGGTTTACCTTCTTTTCTTCAGAAAAATCAAAACAAACCCCCTCTTATTGTTACCAGGGATAGAGGCCGAAGAAGTAGATCTCGCCTTCGAAGGAGGTCCAGGTCACGTGGTGGCCATAGACGTAGGAGCAGAAGCAAAGTTAAAGAAGATAAATTTAAAGGTAGTCTTTCAGAGGGTATGAAAGCTGAACAGGAGTCTTCATCGGATGAAAAGTAAGAATTTATTTCTAACTTGCACTGATTATCTAAAAATGCAGATTCCCGGATAAGGAGAATGAGCAGACATTTATCTTCATGCTGTGGTTTTTGGACTGTTACCTAAAACCTTTATCATGTTTTAGTACTTCTGATCTTGACAAATTACTGTTGGGTTGATATGGAAAACTTTGGAGTATGCAAGAAAAAGCAAGATGTATTGGCTAGTGGGCATACTTGAGGGGATGATACATTGTTTGGTTTCTAAATTCTACTGGATCAGTATCTGGTAAAAATAATTGGTCTGTGTCCTCAAGCTTATTGCTTGAGGAAAAACAGCTGAAAGGATTAATTGCCATCTGCAAATAATTTTATAATTGCTAAATATCTACTTAATCCAATTGCACAAGAGTATGCATTCTTAATCAAATTATCAAGGAAGAATGATGCAAGTCCCAGAGAGATACCAAAGGAGAAATGTTGTCTGTAGGGAGATGTAAACGCATACACTGGGATTGAATACATCTTTTCTTTCTGAGTCAGTTGAACAGCTGTTGTTTAATATATTGTGTGCTTTCTATGTCAAAGAACTGTATTTGGTGAAATTTGGTAGTTACTCTTATGATTTTGATGTTCTATAGCAAGTAATTCTATTTTTCTAGTCTTGAAGACTTTGATTTGGAAGAAGAGGATGAAGAAGCAGAGATAAGACAAAGAAGGTTACAGCGGCAAGCAATTGTTCAGGTACACAGTTATATTATCATGTGGGTTACAGAAACTTATTTTATGCTTTAGTGTAAAATGTGATAAAGGCACTTAGCATGCTCCTACATCGCTATAGTAATTAACTACTACTATATTTTTTCCAATTAATTCATTGTCATTATTAGTGTCATTTAAACTTTGCACTTACATTGCAACAGCATTGCTTTTAAGAAGCAACTTTTCTATAAGTTGTTTTTGTGATATGGTTAAACATTCTCTGACAGTCCTGTGACATCTTAAAAATGTTTTTAAATTATCTTAATCTGTTGGTTTTCTTTGTAGCTGCACCACTGATACCATAATGTCATGATAACATTAAGTTACAAATCAGTTAACCTAACTGGTCAGTTTGTTTAAATAGAAGTTGTCCTTGTCTGTTTCCAAACCTTCATAAAGCCACTGACGTGAGTTCCCTCTTCATGAAGGTAGATACTGTGTTCAGTTACACATGTGACTTTAAAGGCATGGACTTCTTATTCCTGGTAGTGACAGGTAGTATGTGATTGAGGCTGCTGAAAGGGAGTTCTGGCTAAAGGGAATTCATTCTGCAGCAAAAGCTTGGTATCTTTAAATAAAGTTGGGATTTGGCACACAGTTCGGACATAGTAAGCAAAATGCTGTAGCATATTTACTTAATATTTAGTTACGAAAATGCTGGTTACAATGCGCTGCTTGTCTTAAGCAGCGCTAAAGATACTGTTCATCATTTGACTTTTATGCCAAACCCATTGTAATATCCTTCAGAGCTATGACTGAGTAAAACCAGATGATGTGTATTACTTCTAAAGGCTATTTACACCTGTCGTTGGTCCATGCAGGAAGTAAATTACGGAGCTGCTTTCTCTAAATAGGAAGCCTCTACTTGTATTATTGAATACTTCAACCTTGATAAGGGAATGGTGTCAGCATTGATTCAGTTTAATTTTTAACTTTTGTTTGAAGTGACATTTGTATACAGTAAACATTTTATAGTGTATACATTTCATACTACCTAAGTTAAAAAAAAAAAAATTGTTAAGGTTTTATCTTGAACTCCAGTGCATCTGGAATTTTTTCAACAAGAATGAATGAATGGGGTTTCCAATTAAAATAAAAAATCTGAATCTAAAGCCTACTTTTCTGTACCATAACGCTAATAAAAATGTAGGACATTCTAGGATGTAAGATAATTAATTTTTCCTTAAAGACCTTATTTCACAACTAGTGTGCTAGAATGCTTTAGTAGTAAATCTATTGGTACTCATGTTTTGTCACACAGAACAAAATCATCTTCAACAGAAATAGGTTTTTACAGGAATGTAAAAGCCTAAATGGCACATATGAATTTTTCAGTCTTCTTTTATGAATGGGGCTGTGGTGCATTGTGACAAAATGAGTTATCCCATTCTGCAAATAATATGTTTCCATCAGAGTTGTAGGTGGCTATGGAAAGCAAAGATTAAGGTTTAGCACAAACTATTGAAACTGAGAGTATGAAAATGTTTAAAATGTGATATGCTGTGATAGTGAGATTAATAATTAAATTTCCTTTTAGAAATACAAAGGTCAGACAGAAGACAGCAATATATCTGTACCATCTGAACCAAGCAGTCCTCAAAGTAGTACTCGAAGTCGCTCAAATTCGCCAGATGATATCCTAGAAAGAGTAGCTGCTGATGTTAAGGAGTATGAACGGGAAAATGTGGATACATTTGAGGCATCAGTAAAAGCCAAGCACAACCTCATGACAGTTGAACAGAACAATGGTAAGAATCTGAAAATTCACTGTATAGCACAATTTATGAAAGCTCATCCCTTCAGCAGAGCACTACAAAAGAAACATCCTGCTTAGTTTCCTTATATGCTCTCAGACTTGGAAGTAGATTGATTTTTTTCTGATAGAATTTGAGGATGTTTCCATGAATATTATAGCTCTTAACACATAAAATTAAAATAAAGCTTGCTCATTGAGGAGGATGGTATGAGTGGACCATGCTCTATATTTCTAATAACTCTTAAGAACATTCATGCTGTAAATTTGGAAGAGCAAATAAGGATGTGTGTCTTTATAGTTAAGAATCACCCTTTTTAACTTCCAAGTTCTTCTTCTCAGTTACACATGTTGTTTTATTAGAAGTTCAATATAGTCCCAGTCTTTATTTTGGGGTGCATTGGAAACCATACCCCTTTTGTCCATTTTGGGTTTTTTTGGTCAAAGCCACTGTGTGGGAAGAATATAGGTGGGTGTGTAGTAAATTAGAATGATGAAGGCTTTTCAGAGTAATTGCTGGTAAAACCATTTTAGTGGAATAAGTTCTTCCTGAAGAAATGCCTGTTTCCTCTTCTTCCCTGCACATAATCTATTGTACAACAAAACTGAAATTAAATATATCTTGGCATAAAACCTGACGAGTACCTCCTGTGGCAAGTGGACCATAGAGCATCTCTTGGTGCCGCCTGTAGTATTGAAAGTCTGGGAGGACTTGTTCTGGGTTGGTTGGTTTTTTTTGTCTTTTGAAAGTGGATTAGTGTACATCTTCCTGGTAGTCAAAAGGTGTGACTAGTTGCTGTGTGGACATAATTGAACTAGTTCCCTTTGCAGTTTAATTGCAACAGCACTCTCTTTAACAAGGGCTGTGAAACCTGCCCAACCCTGCAGGAAATAGTTGGAGAGTTAGCTTGTATTTCATGTCAAACACTAGATGTATCCTCAGGGGCTAAATATGTTACCTTCTGGTGGATGCTTCTCTTTGAAGTATCAAAGCTGCATCTCTTTGGGACTGGCGTGCTGCTCTGTGCTTTGTCCTGGTGTTCCCTTGAGCAGTATGTTTTCAGATTGTTCTCCAAAACGTAGGTGGAAGGAACACTTACGAACTTTTCCTCTCTTTGCATACCACAACTCTAGCCTTAGTCTTCTAAAATACAGTATCTTTTTCCCTTGTTGTCAGAGGCGTGTACTGCTTTCTAATTTTGTCCAGTAGAGTATAAAATAGAAACAGTTAAGTACGTAGACATTTTTAAGATATTAAAAGGTTTGTTACACTCAAATCTGGGAATTTTCATATACTCATAGGGTTCTGGATTGTTGGTGGCTGTAACAACAGGTGTAAGTAGTGGATCATCTCTTTCTGTAAGAGCTGATTTTTATTTATTAGAGGCAGGATATAGGATAGTAAGTTGCCCAGGAACTACTTAATAAGTAATTGTAGCCCAGAACAAGTGTCAGTAACTGGAACTAAAAAGAAGACTTGAGGAAGTTGCTGGAAGGGTCCATGTCTCAAAACAATGGTTGTCAGAATGATGGATGAGATTTTGACCCTGAAACTAGACTATTTCAGTCTAGGTATTTTATACGGAAGTGGTCAGCTATATGTATCATGAGACATGAAGCATCTGAGCTTAACCATTTATCTTTCTCCATTGCTTAAAACCCTAAAGGGAGTGTCTGTGATTTACCATGGTCATGAAGGGATGCTACTGTAATATGTGTTATGAAATAGTATGAAGTTTACTTGCTCTCACTAACATGTACTTAATTTAATTTTCTTTGCTTTTATCTTATCAACCAAGTAAAATGTCTTTGGGACTTTAAAGATCATTAAAAGGTGAGAAAGGGATCATCTTGCCCACATTGCAAATGTTTATCTTAAACATAATAGTTAACACTGTCGTTGACTAAAAGCTACACACAAGGTCCTTTTTGGCAGGGTTGAAGAAAACACTTTCCAGAGAAATAACTTCTGGGCTTTACAGCTTTGTTTTTTAGTAAACCACCTTGTGATTAGCAGAAGAGCCTGAACTTGTGTATTGAAAGCGTGATACACAGGCATTTTATGTTTCTTTTTACATATATATAGTAATTATCTGTAGGGATCATGTAAGTATGTACTTTTTTCTTTCTGCTGTATGAGTGGTTTTAAAGGTATTAGATTTAATTTTTAAAGGAGGTGTAAATTTTTGAGTGATTTTAAGAACTTATCCAATCTGAGTTTTGTAGTAGAGCTACCTGTTTCTCAACTTACTGATCTTAGATTATATTATAAAAATACCAAGTAACGAATGATGCAGGTAACAGAGTTTGTTGTCTTTTTCATGTTGAGTAATCTATATTTTATTTTAAGGTTCAGCTCAGAAGAAGCTGCTAGCTCCTGATATGTTCACAGAATCAGATGATATGTTCGCTGCATACTTTGATGTAGGTAATTCTTGGAGTTTAAATGTATGAATTTTTTTGGCTTGATATTTTTTAGAGTTACTGTCCCTTGAGGTTTGTGGGAACTTTTGATTTGTAAAAGCATGTGTTACTGAGTGCATGGTATGGTCTAAACCTTTTGATCAGCCAAGGCAAGGAAGTTCTTATTTAATATTTGAGTGAAAGAAAACCTATGGAAATTAGTGGGAGCTTTACTCAGAGTAAGCAATTAGGGAATTCACCTGCTGTTTGAATATATGTATTATCTATATATATAATGGCACCCAGTAACAAATGTATTCCTAAGTGAAGGTTTATGTTAATGTTACCATGGTGCACTGTTCTAAATGTGCTTTTTTCAAAGGTACATATAAGGTTAACTAAAAAGTGTTTGTGTAAGATATTTTAATTTGCTAATGATGCTGTGTTAGAGTAATGTGGTGGTTTGTTTGGTGGTTGGGGTGTTTGTATTTTTTTTTCAGGAAGAGAAACATTTCCTGGTTTTACTTTTATACTATTCCAGCAGCTTTTGTCCAAATGTGCTGAAATGGCCTGCAAATCTTGGCAATCCAGTGACTAGTTTTGAGACTTCAGTTGCCGTTTGCTGTAAATGTATCTCATTGTTGCTGATGCACAAAACATGAGAAATAAGGCAACAACTTTCTTCTTAGTTTAGAAATTCTCCTGTTAATTTTTGTTTATGGCAGACCTTGTTCTGTTAGTTGTGAAAGAAGCATTGGTGACAAAAGGCTGCCATGGTGTCACTCTAGTAATGCTGGTAATAATTATGTAAAACAAAAAAATTAGAAGGCCCTTCGACCTGGAAAAAGTTAAATACTTGAAGTATAGTGAAGGATGGGGAGTGCTTTTAAAAACTTCAAAGTCACAAGTAGGGATTTAAATGGCTTGTTTGTGAGCAGTTCCCCCTTCCAGAAACTGTTGTTGAATTGAAGATAATTCTTTACTACTCACAGATATGAATTTCTGGTAATATACTGCCAAATCTGATAACAGATGTCAACGGCAATTGTATTAATTTTATGATCATATTAATATGTGACACTGCATGAGCAGAATTTTAAGGCTTAAACAGTTACATTTTCCTTGCAAATATTTTTTTTTAATACAAGCATACTGTATGTACAAAGCCTGCTTAAGATGGTCCAAAATGTGCATTCTAACATGATTTGTATAAAGTCCTTGTGGATATGAATGAAAACTTTGCCCATTTATGTTTAATAATAGTTTATTGGTCATTCCCATCCTTTTTCTTTACATCAGTCCTTAGATACTGCTATGTAAATAACATTTTGTGTGCAGAAGTTTATCTCTCCTACAAGATAAGTGTGTTTGTATTGTGGAGAGGAACAGTGTTCCAGAAGGGAAAAAAAAAGGGCTTTTGGTAAGTAAACATTAGTGAGAAACACAAGGCACACAGGCAAAGCTGTTACTTTTTATTTCAGAGTGCTCGTCTAAGGGCTGCTGGGTTTGGAAAAGACTTCAAAGAAAACCCCAATCTCAGGGATAACTGGACTGATGCCGAAGGCTATTACCGTAAGTGATATTTGTTGATTAGCAAGGACAGCTAGAACAAAGGTGCTGAACGGATAAAAGATCCTCAAGCTAAAAAAAGTGCTGAAATGTTATTCTAATGTAAATGCACCAACATAGTTCCCACACAGTGTGTGTAATGTAAAGGATGAAATGAGCATGCAGGTTTTAAGTGCAGTTAAGAAAAGGCTCCAGACTTAGAGAGTCACAGTGTGTGCCCCATAATTTCCACAGAGCTAATTGCTACAAAACGTTGTACACTATGGAATTAAGTGATTATCCTGTTTACCATGTTTTTCTGAATTATACAGGATGGTTTGTTTTTCATAAAAGGCTTCATTATGTGTGTCACTAATAACTCTAAATTGCTTGATTTCATCCTTCAGGTGTTAATATAGGTGAAGTTCTAGATAAACGTTACAATGTCTATGGTTACACTGGTCAGGGAGTCTTCAGTAACGTAGTGCGAGCCAGGGACATGGCAAGAGCCAACCAAGAAGTAGCAGTTAAAATCATCAGGAACAATGAACTTATGTAAGTAATATTTAATTATTTTAAAGCTTATGTAACAGTTTAAATCTTTTCATGATGTGATTTGAATCTCCCTTTGTTTCAAGCCAAGTAGCAGATTACAGCTGTGATCCCTGCCTTTTCTGCTAATATGAGCCAGATAATGGGAAACCCTTGAGGACAATGTATCCACACTTCTGTACAGCTATCACAGGAGAAGGGTACTTGCATTTTCATCAGGCACTTTCTCATTTGCAAAACTGCAGGGAACAGTGGTAGCAAGGAACAAAGTTACAGTAATTACAAGGCCTTTCTGGCCCTAGAAATTCTTGAGATGGGAGTCATGGACTGTAAAAATTCTGGTTTGATGGACCAAACACTGTGGGTTAGGTCCTGATTGGTTTGCTGCAACTTAGAAAAAGACCTCCATACAGGAATTATTTTTGTATGTTTTTTGTGTGCTTGCATGTATATAAGGTACATAAAAAAAGATGGCATTCTCTCTTGAAAGAAATAAAATGTGAGGTCTTCCAGAATGAGTGAACATAAATAGATGTGATCTATTAAACTACTAATATTTGAGGACTTGTCTATAATACTTGTTTCCAGTATCTGCTGCAGTATTTCTACAGTCATGTATTATGTCCTCTTTTGTTAAAGACAACTTCAAGTATTTTCCATGCATTTTACCCTAGAATTTTTAAAAGTTATCTTGCTGTGTGTTTTAACTGGGTTGCTCAAGTTATATGAATATGTATCTGGAAAAGGGGGAGTGATAAGCTATTTCAGTTTGGTATGTCATACAGATCTTTGGATGTGTACTTGACTCTATAGTCAGTTCAGATTAAAACTTAAAATAATGCATGTGTTTAAGTACTTTAAAAAAAAACAACAGAAATTTCTCGAGTGTTATTTGATACTGAAGTATTGTATCACAGGACAAAATCTAATTTTAACTCTACATGCAACTGGGAGGGAGGAGGAGAGGATAAGTAGGTTACAATGGTGCAGTGAAGAATCACAGAATTAAAGGAACTTACTTGGTATGTAGATGGTGGCAGCAAACTGCTGTTCTTATTTTTGAAAGCCATCATACCTTAAGAAAAGGAAAAGATGTTTCTTATTTCCTGATAATTATAACCATGCAAGTGAATGTCTAGATTTTAAAAAGTACTACAATTTCACTGGGGTTTTTGTAGTTGTGTGTGTTTTTAATCTAATAATATTTGTTTTCAGGCAAAAAACTGGCCTAAAAGAACTGGAATTTTTGAAGAAGCTCAATGATGCAGATCCTGATGATAAATTTCACTGTCTACGGTTGTTCAGGCATTTCTACCACAAACAACATCTCTGTCTGGTGTTTGAGCCACTCAGGTAAGATAACAAGTGTTAGGAGTTCTCTGTAAAAAGTAAAGCACTACTGCATGATCTTTACCTTTCTGGTTTTGGCTATTGTTTTTATACCTTGTTCTGTAGCCAAGATTCAAGAATGTAAGTAACTTAAAAAAAATTTAAAATTATCTTAAGTCACAAATCCACAGACTACTAAGCTATTTGTGATTTACTTAAGCATCATGAACTTTCTGCCTGGACAGTATTTGAAATAAAATAATGTATTATTAAAGATGGTTAACCTCACCAGTGCTCCTGTTGAAGATTTATTTCATGTGTGTCAAAATCTTGTTATTGGTTTTCATAATTCTTTACATGTTTGGATAAGAATGCTTTCCCAGAGAGGTTCAGCAAATGCTGTATATTATTTGAAGACTATATATGTAACAATTTAAGGAATAAATAATTAGGCTTTTCTTATAGGTTAATTGTAGACACAGTTTTGTGATAAATCTGTATGTATTTGTTGCTTCAGTGTCTATTCCTGCTTAGAGACACCAGTTGTTCATATCCTTAAAATTTGTCGTATTTTAATTTTTGCCATATTGGAGACAAAGATAAGTTACGTGCTGAAGCAATGAAAATTTTATAAAATCACTATTATTTTTTCACTAATAAGCCATACAACAAACTATTTTCTTATGTAGCACTGTGTTTTTATAACACACTTGTACAGTATTTATATACAATTACATTTATGTCCTGGAATTGTGGTATTTTTATTTGTTGTTTAAGTCATAAATATAATCACCTCATCATGTTAACTCTTTTGCATACTTTATTTCTTCAGTAAATGAGTACAAAAGCAGTACAGTTCTTAAGAAAATGCTGTTCATGTGCAAATAAATACTCTTAAATTAATCTTGACTAAAAATTGTATTCTGAACTAAGTAAGTGCAAGGTAGTAAGTAATTATAGAGTGTAGGACAGATCTGATTCACCAGCAGTTTTGTTTCGTTGCTGTAGCCAACAGAATGAAATGTATGTTAAGCTGAATGCTGCTTTACTCTAAAAAGTCTAAAGCCAAATTGTTTATTGGAGTTTGTCTTATGGTTTAGGAGGCCACTGTATTTTTCCTTAAGCTCTTTTGTTATTTCTTTTCTCCCTTTCTTTATTTTAACAGTATGAATTTACGAGAGGTGTTGAAAAAGTATGGGAAAGATGTTGGACTCCATATTAAAGCTGTGCGTTCCTACAGCCAGCAGTTGTTCCTGGCTTTGAAACTTCTTAAAAGATGCAATATCCTACATGCAGACATTAAACCAGACAATATTTTGGTAAGTAATAAATAAAATAAACTTATTTTGCATAGTCTATGTGTAAAATTAAGTATTTGAAATTAGTATCATTCTGTTAGTTTAGGTGAAGTTAAAATTTAATTAAACTGAAAATGTTACGGGGTTCATCTTTTGATTTAAAATGCTATCTTGCTATAAATAATAAGAAATACAACCCAACATAAATATAAAATCTTATTTAGTACAATCTTTCTGAAACAAACCTGCATCCTTTTTTATCTTTTTAGAAAGTAGGTATTCCAAAGACAGTATCCTTTCTTAGAAGAAATCTGGGGACTTTTTCCATCAGTAGTTGTAAAGTGTTCCTGTTTTTCTGCAAAGTGAAAGTAGCTTGTTTGAGCCTGGATGGAGATTCTGTTGATGTGAACGAGATAATGAGAAAAAGCCCTTAATGCATTTTTATTTTCTGTTTCAAATAAATATTACTGCTAGCAGAGAGTGAGAGCTACATCAGAGGAATCAGGCATGTTTCCTTTGGTTTTCTTGGTGGTGACAAACTTAGATTTTAATTTTATTCCAAGTGTTCTCTTCTCGCCATCACAGCAGTAAAATCTAGCGTATAAGCATGAGGTATATGAATAATATGCTGGTCTGTGAGTGGCACTCTGGATGCTAGAGTTGGAAATCTTAACTGACAAAATTTCAGTATCTGAAATGAAATTCAGGTCAACCAAGGATATTTGGTAAGGGAAAAGTATGTGAAACTGACCTTTTTTGTATTTTGTAGGATCTGAAGACATTAACTGTCACTTTCAATTTAAGAAGGTTTTGCAGCTTCCTTAGAATATAGAGGAAGAATTGAAATACGGGAAGAGTTCAGAGGCTGAATACTTTTTATCCCTGACTTCAATGTCTTGTTACTTTCATATGCTACTACTCATTCTGACTACAAGTAGTGCTAATGGATTTTTGTGTTTCACTTTCAGGTGAATGAGTCCAAAACAATATTAAAACTTTGCGATTTTGGATCAGCTTCACATGTTGCAGATAATGACATCACACCCTATCTAGTTAGTAGATTTTATCGAGCTCCAGAAATCAGTAAGTACATTTGGCTTGGCTACATGTATCTTAAGCAGTAGCAGGATATACCAGTGCTAGTAAATGAGAATTTGACTTAAAATTTACTCTGTTTGGTCTTAGCAAAAACATCACTGTGGAAATGATGATAATTCAGACTTTGAAAGCATGCTTGTGTGACTCTTCATGTGTGTTGGTGGTCAGCTCAGTGAGGACAGGGAGAAGTCATTCTGATTGGTTATGGTTATGTTTTAATTTAGAGGTATTGTTTTGACTTGTTTTTTACTAACTTAATTCAAGCTGATCGGTTAGGTAAAATCCTGCCTTTCTACAATAAGGCATGCTGTAAAAGTTAAAAGGTTTTAATCCTTCTCCTCTGGTGACTTCTTATTCCTAAGAGGAAGAGCACCAATAGAGTTTCATAATCAGTATTTTTTCATGTGTCTGGTTTTGTGATATATCATTTAAGGCTGCCTTTGTGGAATTAACTGGAATTGCTCTGTTTCAGTTATAGGAAAAATCTATGACTATGGTATAGATATGTGGTCTGTAGGCTGCACATTATATGAACTTTATACAGGAAAAATACTCTTTCCTGGCAAAACCAATAACCATATGTTGAAACTAGCCATGGATCTCAAAGGAAAGATGCCAAACAAGGTAAGAAAAATAAGTATAGGATTTTTAATGAATATCTGAAACGGCTGTAACAGTAGAACATACTTTTTTTTTCTCCCTGAATTCTGTTTCTTATCATATACACCTTCTTTTAACAGCAAGTAAATATCAGACATCGCTCTATAATTTATACTGATTTAAAATCTTATGAAGTGAAATTATACAGCTTCTTTTTCATAGACTAAGTATAAAGTGAAAGCAGAAACCTTCTAAGCACTGTCCTGAAAAAAAAAAAAAGTAAGTCAATGGAAGATACTGTGTCCTTTTTCAGCTGGTTTACACTGCATTTTTAATTCAGTCTAGACACTTCTTACTATCATTTTGATATTATAAATCAAAATATCCTATATTTTTCATTAGTATAAAATTATTCATGTTGCAATATCTTTGTAGACATTTATGCTAATTTTAGACATTCTAAGACACAGGGAGCTTGCCTGAAACTCTTGCCTCTCCCTTGTTTTCCAGATGATTCGAAAAGGTGTGTTCAAAGACCAACACTTTGATCAAAATCTCAACTTTATGTATATAGAAGTAGATAAAGTGACAGAAAGGGTAAGTCTTTACTGTGTCAACTGATCTATTACTTTTTTCCAAGCTTTCCTACTACTGTGGTCTTGGCGTCTGAGTTAAAAATAATATCTTATAAATTATTAAATGCCTTTTTGCAGCAAAATGGATAGCCTACTTAGTTATAAACTGGCAACAACAATTTTTCCCATGATTTAGGAACATCCTTAAGAGAAATCTTAAGTTTCATCTTGGTAGGTATACAGGGTATCTCCACATAGTCTATCCCTAAATTACTAGTAAAAGAAATTCTGCCTTCATTTTAGAGGAGGTTGAGCTTCAGTATGATGTGCTTACGTTGTAGGTGGTCTCTGTTACTTTTGGTATCACTTTAACATAGTATATTTATCAAGAACCACAGAATCAGTGGTCAGATATGGGAAGTTTCCACATGGAATTTTGATGTTCTCAGTTAACTTGGGCTGTTAGGTTCACGTGTGTTCCTGCTGCTAGCAAAAGATGCATCGTGGCCTACCCCTGCCAGTGTTAATTGTCAACCTTCTTTGTGACTGCATGAGCATTTATGATGCCATATGGTGATGAAGGCATTGCCAGTCAGATGTGAGATCACAAAAGTTGTTGTTGAAGCTCTTTGAAAGGGGTAGGGGTTTTGTGCCTGACTTCTGTTCTACAAGGTTGCCATTTTTTCATTTGTAGGAGAAAGTTACTGTTATGAGCACCATTAATCCAACCAAGGACCTGTTAGCAGATTTGATTGGGTGCCAACGACTCCCTGAAGACCAGCGTAAAAAAGTACACCAGCTAAAGGACTTGTTGGACCAGATTCTAATGTTAGATCCAGCTAAACGGATTAGCATCAACCAGGCTCTGCAGCATGCCTTCATCCAGGAAAAAATCTAAACCAGATGAAGAAGTTCAAAGGGTTTGAGTAATTAAGATACAAAGACTGAAGAAATTTCACAGGAGTTATTAATGTATATAAACATAAATATTTCCCCTGCAAAGTTGAGGAAGAAATGATACATTTGAATTAACAACAAGGCTGATATTTCTTTTAGAAATGTTAGAGTAATTCTGTTTTGTGTCTTACGTGAAAATTTTCACTGTAGAACTGTTTTAATTGCCAAGACTGCACAGAAGTACAATGCTAATGTATATGGTTGCAGTTCGTATATATTATAAAAAGAAAAAAAGCATCTGTTATAAAAAAAAAGAAAGGAAAAAAAAAAAGCAGTAATACTGGGTGGTTGATTTGTTTTTAGCAGACTTGGCTTCATTTTTGTCTTTAAAAAATGGCCAGCATAAATGCTGTTTATATTCACATTTTCCTAGGTGTGTGTGTGCAGGCCACAGCAGCATGCCCTTGGTGTAGTCAGTGCCGAAGGGGGTCTGTTCCTTCTTGAGCCTGCCCGCAGGGATGGTCTCCTCTTTTAAAGCAGGTTGTGTACAACTTTCAGTACACTGAAGGTAAGCTAACCCATCAACATCACCGGTGTTTAAGCTGTTATTTTACTGGAACAACTGACAAATGAGAGACAGTAGCGTTGTGGCAGAATTCCCTGCATGTTTGAGAAATGGTCTTGTTTTCTTTTCTGGCATTGCGACCGTGGCATAGTTACAACTTCTGTTCTGTTCATCACATTTAAAATTTGGAGAGTGCGCACTTGATGGATAGAGCGCCTTCAGTGTACTGTTTCTTATTACTTTAATTTTTTTAATCAACTTGCTATAGACTTTGTATACATTTTGTTAAATACAGTTCACTATGACATAGAAACCAGTACTAAAGGAAGAGTTTTCATTTCGTAATTACATACGTTGGGATCTCATTCGAAAGACCTTATATCTAAAGGATAGACAACATAACGAAATTTTTAACTATTTGTATGTCATTTTGAAAGTGTACTGCTTTATGCTAAAAGTGTTTCATTTGTTCATTGTTTTCATTATTTGTGATCATGTTGTCTTTCAATACAGGCATAAACCTTCCACTCTTGAACAAAGCAGCTGCTTTTTAAAAGCGGTAATTGCTTCTTTACCTTTTATTTCTTTTGTAAATGAGGCTTTTCTTTAAGAAATGTGACTTTAAAGTGTTGTCTCATGCATAAAACAGTTGACACTTACTTACTGTAAAGTGAAGATTGTTCTGCTGCATGTAAAGTGGACCATGCAGATTTCTGTATGTTTTCAGTATGCATCATTAGATAATAAAGTCTTTTGTGAACAAGGCATTTGTAGCCATTTTTAAAAGAATCTGTCTTCAGTGATGGTAAATCAGGTAATTCGTAAGAACCTCCCCTGCATTTCCTAATAATATTTAATTAAAGGGATTATTAAACGCTATGATCTTTGGGAGAGCTATAGGCTATGTTAATTAGATATATAGTTATCACTGCTTAAACAAAAACAAAGCAAAAAGCCCTACAGATACTGTCTGTCTGCTTTCATTGTAATGAAATTATTCCTGTAGGACATGGGATTAAATTCAGGCTTTAACTAATGTTTGTGCTGTTTTTCTCACTTTTCCTTTTGATGGTGCTGAAAGAGAAAAAGGAAAGCGAGTCACAGGCCACTCAACGCCTACTCCATGGGTCTGATTTGCTGAGACACCAACTTCACCTTCCTAACAAGGTTATTTCTGACAGCATGTGTAGATAAACATTTAGCAACAAGTTAAAACAGCTTGAAACATTTGAGTTGGTTATACAGCGTGAGGCAACCAAAATCAAACTTTTCAGGTGCATCCTGCTGTTTTAGTGTTCTCTTTGACAATGTTAAGAGCTTCATCTTTTCCTTTTTATTAATATATTCTGAAAAGCTGTGAAAGCCCCACTAGTCTCACGTACTTTATAATACGTCTTTGAACTAAGAAGGGTTTTTGTATCCATCTAGGTACATAATGGCAACAGTCATGCACGCTTAGTGCACTCAAGAATGGAAAAATGACACAAAGCAGTCATTCTGCTGGTGGGGAATACCCCACCGAGGAGATTAATGAACTAACTACGAAAACAAGCAGGAGATAGGTGGTTTTGAATGCGTATTTGGAACCTTCAACCTGTCTCTTCTCAATTGATAATGTAAAATTCTTGATTTTTAAAAAAATCTTGCCTTACTTTTGCTTATTAAGGTATCTTGTTCATAGAGGAAATTTTTAAAATTAGCTTTCGTATTTAATGAAAGACTAGTTGCTTGCTAGTCAAATAGAGAAACTAACTTGTACCTTTACATGCTAGGCAGCACTTCTTAGGGTAATTTTACACAGAGGGCAGTGATAGGTTAGTCTTTCTGTTGCTTTGTGCTTTAAATAGGAATATAAAACAATGCAATGAGTTGGTGATGCAGAAACAAAGCAGTAGAAAAGATGCCCCTAAATGCCTACAGAACTGTTTTAAGCTATTCTGGAGAAGCGTAAAGTTGCTCGTTTACTTGTTCTTTGTGTTGTAGGTGCAGCTCAAAAGAAGATGATGGCTACCAGAAGACATGAACAAAGGTTTCTGTCCTATAAAAGATATGAAAAATACTCTTCATGTAGTTCTGTCTTAATCTTTCGGTTTCCAGCATTCCAGTTTAGAATTGATTAACACTGCTGCAGTACTGATAATTCCTGAAACTTATTTACTGTAATAGAACTTCTTACATAGATGTGCTTTTTTGTTTCCAATTCAAGAGATATTTTTATTTTGATTAAATGTACGTAAATAAGCATTACTGTTTAAACACAGCTTTCTTAAAATAATTACAGTACTATGCCTATGAAATTTAGGGAAAAACCTGCCATTCTGTTTGGTTAAAATCTTTGTGTTGTAACTAGTAAATAATTAAGCAGATGATGTGCTTTTTTCTTCTTAACTTCAGCAGGTTCGTTATTTATTTTAATTATCAAACTTTATTGTTGATATGTAGACTATACATACACTAACAAGTGTATTTCAGTCCTTAGTCCAGTGTGAGTTTCAACTGATACTTTTTGGAAAAAAAAATAAAAAAATCTTTAGTTCTGGCTTCAGAAGCCTCTGGAATTGAGGGCTTTTTGACAATGTTAAGGAACCTCTCCAGTTTTAGGTGGTACTTATCTCAGTAGAGCCTGTGGTCTCTGAGGAGAGCAGAGTAGCTATTAGTGCCACTGCTGTCAGCTGAATTCCAGCTATTACAGCTTGGTGCAAACAGAACAGCTGTGCAACTGAGTTTTGTTGAAATATTTCTCAGCTGATCTAAGAGGGAGGATAATTTCTTTTCCTCTTATACAGGAAGATGTAATTTGTATCTTCACCTGATGTCCTACATACAGACAGTTTGGCTAAATCTGCTGTGCTAATTTATATTTCCTTCTCCCTCACAGTGATGAGGAGCTTTACATTTAACACACTTAATTTGCCAAGCATTCAGAAAAAAAAACCAAGATGCCAGCCTTATGTAGTTAGAATGTGTTTTTTATTAGCTTGGTGTATACTAGTATAATTTAAAAACTGATTTTTTTTGATAGAATATTAATGGTTCCTTTAAAACCCTTTTAATAATGCTTTATCTCCATACATAGGGTAAGTGGCATTAAACCTCTGAAGAACCTTTATGTGTATATTGACCTGTGCACGGAAGGCAGACCAGTCGGTCATACTACTGGAGATAGAGCCATCTTCTACAGTATGTGTAAAACTGTAACTTGGGTGGAGGATATTGGGAGGTGACAATTGCTTGAAATTAATAAACTACACTTAAAACTTACTTGCGTCCTGTCTTCTGTTGTGTTTACAAATATCACCCTGCACAGCTTCTAAATACACAATCAATTTTTAAATACACTAAGAAAGAAGTGTAGTTCTTTGAATGGGGTTGTCTGCTGAGGTATCAGAGGTGTTCTAGAACTTGTGAAAAAGTTGTACTGAGTATGTGGAAAATGGAGATGTTGTCTTTTGTTAAATTTTCTCTCTGGTTTTGGAAGCCCTGTCAGCAACAAAGAATTCGTGTGGCTTTCACTTTGAATTTTCCCCATACCTTATTTTACCTTCTATAGGGATGTGCTAGCCTGTTTGAAGTAGGGGATGAAAGAATTAGATTGTATTACAATGAAGGGAAAATAAATGTATTTGTATATTAATCTTTATAAGGAAAAAATTAAGCTGGTCAGATGGGAGAAAGGGCATGGAATGTGTATTTTCACTTAATTATATATCAAATTATTAAAGTATATTTGTTACTATGTGGGTACAGAAATGAAGCTATCAACCATGTCTTCTAGACTTCCACAAATTAGTTTTACCTAAAAGCTTAAATAACTTAAACTTCTGACAAATTATTTCTTTCTCTGAATTACAAGCTTGGCCCTGTTTCTGTGATATACCTTTTCGAATCCTTCATTGTCTCAATTATTCTGTCTTAAACACTTGATTTTTTATGATTGTTGCCCAGATCTTTCTATAAAGTAGGTATGAGCTGGTTATTCCTAAAATAGGGAAACACATGAAAAATTATTTGCAAAGAGGCAGTGTTCAGTGTTCATGAGAAATAAAGCTGCTTCTGGGCAGATAGAAATAAATAGGCCATAACCTAGAAAGCAGATACTGATACAGTTGCTGCCTACTTTATAACTTCATGGTTCAGTCACATCTGAAACATACACAATGCCCATCCATTTGCTTCCTCCTAGGAGGGTTAAATTAAATCTTGCAGAGCAAATTTAGGATGGAGTTACCTGCCTCTTTACAGAACATCCAGGCACTCTGACAGGTTAGGAAAGAGGTGTTTTCACAACCTTACCCAAGTTGCTTTGCTAGCTCATTAAAGCTCATATATCCAGTCCATTCCTATTTGCAAGTAATCTTACTCTGTTCAGATAGGCTTAATAAAAAATACAGCCAAGTTTACAGGAGGATCACAAATATTAATGATCTAGGGATCCACAAGCTTTTTACTTAAGGATTTTAATCTTCGAAATAACTCAGAAATTCTCTTACCATATGGTAAATCACACAGTAATTGCATAAATACAATTATAAGCAATTTAAGACATCTCACGGAAGACCGGTGTACCTGAAGCAACAGCTGACTTTTAAAGTGACAAAACTAGCAAAACTCATATGTCGTATGAGACAGAGAAATTGATTGAATGTAAAGTCTGGAAAGCTCCCGTATGAGACAGAGAAATTGATTGAATGTAAACAACCCTCTTACAGACCAAAAGATTAAATCCAGGATGTAATTTACTTGTAAAAGCTTAAGGAGGTTACCTTGGAATAG